TGCGCTTTCCGGCTCTGGTCCACGCACTTGGACTGCCGGCTGCCACCCCACCGTCCAGCACGGACACCCTCCCCCCAGGGAGGACAGACGTGCTGAAGCGAGAAGCCTGAGCTGAAGCCCCTGGCTGCCAAGACCTGATGGAGCAGCAACTTGTTACAGAGCCAGAGCAGGACCACGCAGCCCCAGCAAGGTGAGGGACCCCTCGAGCCCCCAGTGAGGGGGGAGCACTGTGGCCCTGGGCGCAGCTTAGGCCCCTCCAGCCCCAGCAGGCACAGGCAGCTGCCCCGACACCCCCAGCCCAGCCTGCAGTGGGGTTCCTCCTCCCTGACTTGCGTTCGTGCCCGAACACCCAGTTTCCTCCTCCAGGGCAGAACGCAGATGCCTACCCTAAAACCCAGCAGTGGGTCCCTTCCCCAACCTTTCCCTGACCCTGCGAGCCTGGCTCCGAAGGCAGAGAGCGGAGCGCAGCAGGGGCTGCACCATCCCGTCCTGCAGACGCATTCGTGCTGGGACTCCTCTGCATGAGGATGGTCTGTGCCACTCCACCCCACTCCGTCCCCATCCCCACCCCACAAGCAGCCCTGGCGTTCCCAAATCAGCCCCACCAGCCAAGCTGCACTTACCGAGCATCCACCCAGCTGGGGCTCAGGGCAAAACCAGGCCATGCTGGGGGCACAGGACAGTCCCCGCTCCCAGGAGAGACTCAAGAAAAACTGCCTCAAAACTTCCACCAAGTGTCCCTGCAGGCTGGCTGCAGCTCGGATGTTCCTAGAGCAGAGGCAGCGAAGACAACGTTCATTGCAATGGATTTTTAAAAACAGAAGTCTTTATTAAAAGTTTTATCCAAATTTTGTAACAAAAGATACAAAAGGGCTGGAGATCCTTATTTCTGGGACTAGTCTGACCAATCAAAACCTGACAGTTACTAGGCTAATATAAAATCCATACAATCTGCTAAAAATGCAGGGAAAAATTAGAAGTAACTGCTGCTCTGAAATTTCTTTTAAAAATTCCTTTAACATTTATAAGTTACTCAGTTTGCATTTTACAGGACTAGTTCTTCTCCGAATGGTTACAGCTACTGTACAATGCAAGAGACAACAGCAAGAACAGAACAAAGCAACAGAAACTCGGATGTGCTGCAACACACACCACTCCTCTGAAGGAACCGCTGCGAGTCTCACCTCCGAACGCCGGGTGCCGACAGATTGCCCAGGGCAACCACCGGGAACGCCACAAAGTGCCAGTGCATCTGCACCCGTGGAGAGCCTCAACAGGAGGAACAGCAGTTACTCCCGCCCCAGCACAGCTCTCCGGCACCCAGCACCGAGCAGTTACCATCCCTGGGATGCCACGGGGCCAGTTCTCCCCAGAAGTTAAGGGATGGGCCGGCTGAACACCTCCAGGCAGAGGAAGGGTGGGCAAAGGGGTCAGAAACCCTCTGGCGGAGAGCTACACCTGGCTGAATTCCCCCCTTCCTCCTTCCAGCCACCGCAGGGTTGGGGGGGGGGACACGACACACGTGCTCTGCGGCACCACCTGCGCTCCCGCAGAGCATAAACACGAGTGGGAGAGAGCTGGATTTCTGATCAATGCACTTCATGCTGAAAAGGGAAGAGGAGGAGGATGCGTACACCAGGCTAGCGCTGAGGCAACTGTCCAGAGCTGGAACTGGCTAGCAGAAGGACCCTGAGAATATATAGGCTAACACAGTCTCCCGGGGAACGCCGAGTTAGGTGCATCACAGTGATACTGGTTGAACGTGTTCTGTACAGTGCGAAATGGAGTTTGACAGAAGTGCAGTATCCCTTAACCTGCTATTTCCTATCTCTTCCTAAAGGCAGAGGCTGCTACGGGGTGACGAGAAGCCTCATCACAGCGAAGATGCTCACAGCCGCAAAAATCAGACTTACTTGGACATCCAAGCGAAAGTTATTAGGTGGCCACCAGGAAAAATATTCCAGTTTATAAAAAAATAGGAAAGCAAGTGCAGGGCTACTGCAAGGTGCATTGTCAGAGGTACCAGGTCTTGCAAGCAGCCAACCCCCCCTCCCCAACACCCCAGGCACCCCACATCCCCAGCACTAAAGTATCTTCAAGCATCTCCAGAGATCACATCACCATTATATCTGATCAGAGAGACCTCAGCGATCATTCGCTTTGAGTCCATTTAGATGAACCAGATTTGCACCCACTGCTCAAGATGGCTCAAGCGTCTTCAGAAAGCTGGTCTGAGGGCATGCGGATAGCAAACACGCCTTCTTTGCTGTCAGGCAGGGTGGCGAGCTGGAGCTCTGGGTCCAGTGTGGCAAGGCTGATTTCAGACACGAAAGATACCCTAGGAGGAAATTTTTTTCTTTTTTTTCTTTTTTCTTTTTTTTTTTTTTTTTTTTTTTTTTTTTTTTTTTTTTTTGCAAACTGCTGCACAAACCACAGAACGGAGAAAGCCTTTGGTCATGAGACACTTGTGAGAAAGTGAGCCTTGTATGGAAGATTCCCCTGAATGCCTACAGTATTCTACATCTTAAAAAAATATATTGTGGACGCTGCAGCCATACAAAGGGGGGAGGAGTGGGAGACGGGGATTTACAGTCTCACATAGACACAACGGGGAGGTTAAGACAAGCACAGTCATAGTCTGTAAAACTGATTGGCTCGCTCGGATCAGTCATCCTCATCGTCCTCTTCATCGTCTGGATCTTCCTCTCCTTCATCCTCTAGATTTCGTTTTCTCTTTTCCCCTCGCGGAAGGTCTGCAAAAAGAGGCGAAGCGTGAAGCTCTGTTCAGTCTTGTGGAACAGCATTTGAACTGTGGCTTCAAGCCGCGTCAGCCACAGCTTGCTGGTGAACAAGCACAGACTAGACTGGCACCATTACGGAGCGGAGATCCACCCTGCCCAGTTTCTCATGGCACCCTGAAAAGCCTGCACTATCACGAGAGATTAAATATTTTCTATGCTCTCCAAGCATCCCACATTTCAACAGCCGCTTGAAAACGGGCTTTTTTGTAGAGCACCCCCAAAAATGTAGCATCTGCAGAATTCAGTCACTTCTGACCAAGCTCATACAAGATCATTTGAAGTCACGCCAGCCACTATATCCTGTCAACATTCACTCATATAGTTTGTTACAACCAGAGGAGTCTGGACTCAAGTCAAGAAGCTCGGGTCTTCCCTCCTCTCTACAGCTGAGAGGAGAGGAACGTGTCTCCAAGAGCATTTCCTCACGCACACTGCTAACACGAGCTTCTGTGACAGAAGCCCTGCTCCTGCACCGACTACCAGTTCGAGCTACTTAGAATTGGTTTTCTGGGCAATTTGCTTCTTTAATATTTGGCAGGCTTACCCCGCTTGGTTGGTATTAGGAGGTACTGAAACCTGTTTCCCCATCACCGCTGTGTGACCCTTTGGTTATAACCACTATTCAAGCGTCAGCTGAGGCACAAGCAACAACTTCAGCGGTGCCCGTAAGCCGAAACGCTGCACTTTCTATCAGGGAAAAGCTGCAGGCAACAACAGCACTGCACCGAAGCTTGGGAAGCTCTACAAAACCAGCAAATGTGTGAGACTGTTGAGGCAGCTTCGCAAGCACTTCGTTTGTTAGGATTCGACTCACCATCATCAGCTTCATCTTCTTCATCATCCTCACCATCTTCCTCTTCATCTTCCTCCTGGAGTCAAAACAAGATGCTTTGTTGCAAGAACCACAATCCCATCAGCAAGGTGTAATTCCACAGCAACATCTTCCTTCAACTCTGCTCCCACCCTACTCTACCCTCAGGGTGGCAGGTACAAGCCGAGCAGGGAGAAGCTGTTGGTTCCTAAATAGCTTCTTGCATCCCCGCGACGGGGGCTGTACGGCTTTATCACTTGAAGCCACGGGAAGTACCAGGCCAAGCAATAAACAAGTCTGAACTGGCAAACCCTGTGGACCACGAGTCAAAAGGTGTATGGGAAAAGCCAGAGCGCACGACGGCACTCCTCAGATCTGCCCACAAAGAGGCATCTGTGACATCTGGTCAGATGGGTCACCAGATCAAGGGACAAACGCGCTACCAGACATAGCAACGTGGCGCTGCAGATTTGTACCGATGACAGAAAGCCTCACCTCATCATCTACTCCGTCCTCCTCTTCTTCACCTTCCAGATCATCATCTTCGTCTTCTTCATCATCAATGACTTCTTCATCCAAATCATCTTCCTCATCATCATCATCCTCTTCCTCACCTTCTACCAAAAGGAGAGGGAGGTAAGTGTTACGGTTCCCAAATACTCGCTACTCCCAGACAACACGCTCGCACCTCCAACCCCAGTGCCACGTGAGCAATGGGCGGGAAAGCACACAGAACAAGCACGCACGAGGAGTGCCAGCAACGAGCCCCGTCAGCTTCCAGCAAGTCTCATTCCTTAGGCAGCCTGCCAAAGGAGGGAGCGGGGTTACCCAGACAGCCCCTACTTCAGTGGCAAGTTATAATCACCATTGATTTAGCAACGTGACCATGCAGAAGGGAAAAAGGGGTTGTTCCCCAGCAAGAAAACCAAGAGGAGAAAGTCCTCACCTTCCCCATTCTCATACTCATCTTCCAGTCCATCCCCATCTGCTTCAGGGTCTGAGTCGGGGGCTTCCTGGTCATCAGCATCAAATCCGTCTAGGTAGGTGAGCTGGGGCAGGAGGGTGAACACGCTCTCCCGGTAGTTGATGAGCATCGTCACCTCACAGTTGAAGAGGTCCAGACTATGCAGGTTTGGCAACTTTTTCTGCAAAGATCAATTCATTAGATTATTTACAAGTTGGCACCGTTTGAAGATCAGGCAGCCATCAGAGGACAGATGGTTTGCTACCCAGATCTAGTACAGAAGTGTCTTTGCATGCATTATTTGCACCATGTGCTCCTCAGATGGAGAGGAGTTATTGCTCTCGCTAACTGTAGGCAAAGAAGGCTTCTTTTCAGCTCCTCTGTCCTCGTTTCCCCTCCTTGGAGCCAGCTCCCTGTGAAACCTTTCGCAAATCTTACTCCCTTCTGAACGGGGTGGGCAACAAGGACAGAAAGCCCAGCTCCCCCAGCAGGAGGGATCACTGAGCCAGACTCATCCTGCCCAAAACGTGAGGCAAAATACCCGAGAGCACAACGCAGGGAGACCAAAGCGCAGTGCCTGCAGACTGCACCCCGTGTGCCTTTCAGCACAGCCACGGCAGCTCTCCCGGTCAGGCCATCGAACCGTGTACCAGGTCAAGCGAAGGAGGAGTAAAACAGTTTCAAGCTCTTTCTGGAGGGGATGGAGTGACCAAAGACAGCAGCTAACGAGGCAAATGCCCCAGATCAGACCTTTCAGCCACAGAGACAGGATCACAAGGCAAGAGCCTTCTTTGGGGCAGTTCAGATGCAAGGGGAAGCCCCTGCAACGCATGCTGTCACAGCACCCAAGGCGAGAGGGTCCCAGCCCAGCACAACAGCACCTTTGGACTGATGCAATGCACACCCTCACTGGTGTCCAAGCAACTCATCTCCATGACACCCCAGGTGCCACCTACCTCAAACTGCATCCGACCCATTAACGGTCCTTTCTCAGATGGACACTGAGCACTGCATCCACAGTTTTACTCATCCAGCCCAATTTCATGCTTCTTTTAGCAACTGGCTGCTGGTTTTCCAGACAGAGGAGCCATTAACTATTAGCCCAGCCTCAAATTGGACCCACTCATCTGTTCCCATCAGAACCACGAAGTGCTGTTGGAACAGTTACCAAGACGTTGGACTTCTGCTGCACAGACACGCTCCCCAAAGGAAACAACGTCATCCCTTAGATTCCAGCACAGCCTTCCACTCACCAAGGGCTCCAGGGTATTGATGTCTTTGATCTTGTTGCCGCTTAGATTCAAGTGTGTCAGGTTAGGAGTTCTCTCTGCTAGAACTTCAAGGCCACCAGAAATCCTGTTATCACTCAGCTCCAGCTGCCAGAAGGGAATATCAGATGGTCACAAAGTGTCTCGGCTTGCGACATGGGGAATAAAAGTCCAGTCCCTGAGAACTGGACTACAATGGGCACCCAAGTTCCAGACCCTGTTCGTTAGACCATGCCGTACAGCAGCAGTTCAAGTTTTCACTTGAAACCCCTTTCCCGCAGTAACGCAGCACTCCCAGCCACCTCCGTACTGCAGGACACAAGGATACATGTCCTCTTAGCTGTAACCGCATGTTCTAAAATCCAAAATATTTATGATGTTACTGAAGCTTCTGACAGAAGCACAACAGCAAAAGCGAGAGAAAGGACACCAAACGTACAACGAGCTCAAAAGCATTTTGTTGCATACTAAAAAACCACCTCTCTCACTTGCTCAGGTTGTAGGCTGCAGTGGAAAAAGCAAAATCAAATGGCCTTTTTCTGGCAAACGCAGGAAAAACAACTGTCACTGTCCCTGCTATCCGGGGACAGGATAGCAGAAGTCTCAGAGCAAGGACTGCTGGAGATGGGACCACAGGTCTGACTCACCTTCCGGAGTTTGTTAAGTTTGGGGAGATTGGAGACGGACAGCAAGTTGATGTTGATCATGCTGAGGAACTCCAGGTTCTCGAAATCTGAAGAGAGCCCAACGATCTTCCCATCGTCCGAACGGCAGTTATCAAGAACCAGCTCCTTCACCTGCCAACAGAGACACCCAGCAGCTGTCATCACACCCAGCTAAGTCTCACCTCGAGTCTGTCAAGCTGGCATCAGGCGGACTGACCGACACTTCAAAGCAGCAGGTGTGTCTGAAGGTCCTCCTTACTCACATTAAGGGACACGCAAGATCTTAAAGCCAAATAACTTTTGCAAGGGTACAAGGTGAGAATCCCTCACGGTGGTTAGGACTTCACCCTTTAAGCACGAGCCATGCAACATGTGACTGCTGCACCACCCCACACCCTGTGGCTCCAACAAGGTCCTCCTTCTCCACTAAGAAGCATTAAGGGTTGAACCATGAGGTTCCATCAAAACGTTTCACGCACAAGGCATCAAAAAGCTTTCAGTCGCGCTTCAGGCTTCACTAACAAGAGACCAAACAAGGTCATCTGGTTTTGTCCCCTTCAACTTTCTCCCCCACGCCACTGGGGTGCTGGAAACCCTGCCTCCAGAGGATTCGTTTCCTCTGTGACAGTCTCCGTGCAGAGGTGACACATCTGCCTAGGCAGGCCCCTAAGCAGATGAGCTCAACCTCAGGCTCGTAGCGCACGACCACTGACGGCATCTAATATTTTGCCCAGCACAGACTACACACACAGAAGCCATCGCTACCCGGCAATTCAGCACAGAAATCAACCCCCCTGCGGCATAAGGACCATGAAGCACCAGCACAGAACCACTCCCCCCCCTAAACACCTGGAAGGCAAACACACCCGGCATCCCCTTCTCCCCCAACACGCAGGTGAGTGCTCAAGCCCCAGCTCTCACAGGCCACTTCCAAAACTTGCTTTTACCCCACACGTTCTTCACAGCAAGATGCAAAAATCAGCCTTGGCCAGAAGGCTCATGATACTCTCCAAATTCCTCCTTTACAGCGCTCCCATTTTCCCTCTCTTGCTCAGATCAGCCAACTATTAGGGAGTCATTTTAAAACCACTTTGCCTTACTGGGAGCAAAGTTTCAGAGCTGCCGTGCCATCTTCGCAGTACAAGCTCCAAACAAATTAACGCTTAAAACTCCAGAAGTGGCATCGCTGGTCAGGGCTCCGAGTTGAGCAGCAAACAGGCTCAGCCAGGAGTTTTGCAGCTGAGCTCATTTTGCTCCCAACACTCCAGACAAGCCTCCAACCGAACCGAGACTCTGTCACCACGGTGGGTGTAAAGGCGGCCAAAGCCAGCCCGCTGTCGCTTTGTTGGTGCGGGCATAGAGGCGAGCCTGAACGTTACCACGTTATGAACTAACCTGGCCGAGACCAGCTTTAACCCGGAGCGGACCCTTGCCCTGGATCGCAGAGCAAGCACTGCAGCAGGACGAAGCAGCCAGGATGGCTTCTTCCAGCAGCGACGCTGCCTCACACCGGCTTTGGTCCCAGGGCACGCACGCTCCGGCCCTGCTCGCCTCTGCAGCGTGCCAATCGCTCAAATTCCTGGTGTCAAACTAGAGGAGACCCGCAGCTCGCAGCCTCTGAGGGACGCTTCTACTCCTCAAATCGTTCTCGTCCTGCAAATCCCTTTGCCATCCACAAAGCATCTTTAATCTCTACTAAAAGCTCCACTTACAACCCATTTTCCTCACGCTTGATTTTAAGCTGCCCACAGCCGCACGCTGCCACGACACGGCGACCTGTCCCCAAGCCGAGTGACAGCCGCCAGCCTATCTCACTGCAAGGCGGCGAGCGGGGCTGCCAGCCCGGCCC